GGAGAGAGAGAGAGAGAAGCGAGGAATGCGGGAGTGATTCGGCGGTCCGGAGAACGGGGGCAAGATAGCCGCGAGTTAGGGTAGGGGGTTGGTTTCGGCGTTGGTTTAAAAGCGACGCATGCGTCTCCCGCGTAAGGGGATGTCCGGGGTGAGCTGCCGTACTCCGGCCGACGTATCGCAGTTTCTGGCTTGATGTTTGTCCGCGTGGTACTCCCAGGGATGGCTGTGCCCGTGTGGTAACCCACGAGGGCGCACCTGAACGTATTCGAAGGCACATCTCTTGCGCAAAGAAAGATAGAAAAGCCGACGATAGAAGGGATAGGCCGAAGAAAAAGAATGGGCGAAAGTAAAGAAAGGGCTGAGAGAGAGAGAGAGAGAGAGATGAAAAGAGGGATAGAAGGAAAGGACGGAACAAAGGAGGAATCATCGATACACACAACGGTGACCACGATCTGCCACGCTTGCGCCTTCTCGCTTGGAGAAAAAGTCCAGGCCTTTCCCTTCTTTCTTTCACACCCAACACTCTTCGTCGTCCAGTCGCGGAACTCAAGAGACCCCTGGGAGTCTACGTGGGAGATGGACTCGATGGGACCAATCGTTTTTTCAACAGGTAAGTGTGGTGACGCGTCTACATGTACATGTACCGTGAGTGTATTCGTTCACGTGTGCATTCGAACGCAACGAGCAACGAACTGAATTCCCGAATCGAATTAAAATATCACACAAAGATTGTTGCATAATTCTACAGATGTAAAAGTGATTGTTGATCGCGAAAGCTAAACATGCTTACGGTAAAAGAGCCATTACCTCTTTGTTGTTTGTTAAAAAAAATTTATTTCGAACGAATCAATTAGAACTAAATTATTACATCTAAACTAGTCTCATAAAATTGTTAGATTAATGTGAAATATTGATGGCTTTTCAAAAGCAAAATTAACGAACATTGCAAAATCACTTGACAAATAGACAATTCTTTAATTCTTTAGTCATTACGAAGTCGAGAATTGAAGCCTTTTTATTGTAAAAAATTTATCGTGCCATTTAGCCGAAGGTTTTGATAAACGCAGACCTGGAAAATTGGTCGAAATTTTCGTATCGAGCGACGAGAGATAGGATAGTGCATCCGCGATTAATTATTCGTGATAATTGGTCAATGTTTACGACATCGTGGCGGAAGTAATTTACCTCTTCTTTATACCTTTATTTCGCATTTCTCCTTTTACCGTCAGCCATACCTTTAATATCACCCCTTCCCTTCCGTCGCTCCTGTTCCCCCTCGATCACTATCCCCATCACTCTGACTCACTTCCGCAATAGATGCGCATTTGCAAATGCGTCGAGTCAGCACGCAATTCTTTAGCAGACACCAGTCTCGAATTCTTTAAACATGACACACTTTCAGTACAAATAAAAATATTAATTTCGCTAAAATCTCGCGCTAACATGACAAATATACATTGATATTCCTGAATAACTAAAAATCGAAGTATTATACTTTATTCAGTAAGATAATATATTATATTATGAATATATAATGAATTCTTTCACAGTAATACAGATAAGATTAATCAGAGAAGGATATAATATGCATTTTATATCAAAATAGTAATAATAAAATAAAATAATATAAAATCATTCATGTTTTTTAAATAATTGATGTCCATTATACGTTTTTAAATAAAGTTAAATAAATATTTGAATTGAGTCCGTTGTCAATTTCCATTGTTTAACAAGTTTTACAAGGCTTGACAGTTTATAATAGAAATGCTAGTCGAATCGAATGACAATACAATCTACGAGAACATATGTAATAATCGTTATTATGGTTTAGCCGAATCGACCATTAGTGTCATTAGAGCTAGTGCAAACGCCAAACAATTACATATTAACCGCGTAATTCGAGTTTGGGAGTTCGGAATATTCGATAAACGCCGCATGGAAAATATTTATTAGGCGCCACACAGTGGCGGCCATCGATGTCTTCTTCACCCCTATATGGGAACTTTACTCATAAATCGAACGTTATTTAAAATTGCAAATAAAGTCGGACGACAGTAAAGTGTCGAGAGCTTAATGCAGAAATATGCGCGAAAAGCGCGAGATCGGCCAATGCGCGAAGCGGAGGAAAAAACAGATGGAAGAAATAAAAACTCGTCTTGCGCCGTAGCTGAGAAATGCGCTCGCCACGTTCTCGGTGATAATAAAAAATTCTAAGATAGGCATAACTTAATTTAATACCGTGACTAGTGCACCGTTGACCCAATGATAAATCCCTTGGTACCCACCTTCCTCCCTCCCGCCCTCCATTCGCCTCAGCACCGACTCTCTTTCCGTCCATTCTGAAATCTTCCCCCTCGTTCTTCTCTCGCCTCGAACAAAAGATAACAACCGGAATAAGAGTAACCGGAAAGCACGACGGTCGAGCACGGCGGTGGGTCTTAATTCAAGGCAAGAAGACGAACGTGCGCGGAAACGCGACGAAAAGAGTAATTCGGAACAGGGGGTTAGAAGGTAAAAATTGTCGACAATCATTGTATCCGTCTATGATTAAGTTCCTCAGTGAATTCAAAGTGCGACCGAGTTAAAATGAAAATTATTAAATCTCAATAAGATAATTAAATAATGAATATCAAATTAAATCAATAAAATAATCAAAAATATAAAATAGTTGAAACGAAAGTTAAAAGACACATTATTGTGACGTTGAATGTGTTGTGATTTAAATATTATATATCAAATATTACATTAAAAAAATATTTTATGATTTTAATATTATGCATTAAAAAAATATTTCACAAAGCCTCCGGTCATGTCTCATCATTATTTAATAATACATTTTTGCAAAAAAAATTTGTGCGATGAGATATAAATAATGCAATCTAACATTTTCTGTTCTATTCACGATTCATGATAAATGAATATGTAAATGGACTTTGTTTAAATTATAACAAGACAAAATAATAAATTGAAAAATAGTTATTAATTCGTGTATTTCATTCTATTTTCTTTTCTCGCATTTACTTCTTTCATCGGAGAATTATTTGGATAGATTGGATACTCATAATGTTGGGGCAATTCGTAATCAAGTGCGCTCGAGCGATTTTCATTTGCGATCAAGTTAGTACTTCAAATATATTTCGTTTGTTTATCCCCGAAATGGATGCAACATCCGCTTAACAGCGTTCATCGATTTAAAATTCCAGTTAACGCATTTCGAAAATACAGACAAACTTGGATTATGAGGAATATGTGATTCGTTCAAACTGTAAACGATGTTAAGTAGAATAGCCGATAATAGCGTTGCCCAAGAGGCTTTAATATAATTTACGGGAAAACAAGCGTAGCGACGCGTGGATTTTTCATGTATAAAATGTACTCATTTGTCTTTCTCTTTCTTCTCTCGCGAGACGCTAACGTTGTCTCATTACTTGAAATTCCCTGAAGTTTTTTCTAAATACCCGTGTTCTTTTTGCGCTTGTTTGCGCACGTTCGCTCAACGCAAAGCGGACGTCAACGATGCTTCTTCCTCGAATCTTTTCTCCATTAACACCGTATTAACGTCGAGACATCTCGGCTTCTCGCAAAAAAAAAAGAAACAGGAAAAAAAACAGAGAAACGCAGACGGTTCTGGGAGGATGGCAGAGAAGCTTGCGGAACAATCATACACCGTGCACATTCCGCTGACTTATGAATAAACATTTTCCGAAGGCACCCAGCGGAAAATTACTCCCGGAAATACCTCTACTTTCATCTTATATCTTCTCATAAGGCTCTCTTAGTGTATGATTCACTCCTGTTTTACTATTCGTTCTAGCGAGGCTCGATAATCGAGCCTGAGAGATTTCCGTATCCCAGGAGAAAACAGATAAAGTATTATGTCATATTTATTTTAATCCTCACTCGTTTTCTAAATTTTTTAACACCTACGTTCTATATTAATACATTTTTTGAAAATATAATTAAATATAATTATAATTGAAAATGTCAATGTATGTACATATAAAATATTGGAACTTAATGAGAAAATTAATAAATAAATTTCGCTTAAAAAAATCAGAAAAAAATAATAAAAACTTGTAATAAACGATAAAATTTTTTAATAATTTATGGAAAAATAATCAAGAATAATAAATAATAAATATAGCCGAATAAATACAATAAAAAAATTATAATTGTTCACTATAAGTGTGAAAGAAAAAAAGCTTTTCCAATCGCGATTTAATGAATGGTAAAAACTGTTTTTCACGATTTAATAGTCATATATTGATCAGTGTTTGATAATTAGTTTGCTATTATAACGTTGGTAAATAGGAAGGAGATATTGCCACTTTCTGCGAGCAGTGCAAAATCGTTTCGCGTAAAACCAATACGCTAAAGCACGAATTTATATCGATACTCCCCAGCCTTTCCCTTTTAACTGGATATGAAGATACTGCGGTTTTGTCGCAAAGGTAAAATTACTCTCTCTTTCTCTCTCTCTCTCTCTGTATGTGTGTTTAAAGTAGTCTCGCAACTAAAACACTTGCAACACAGTTAATATAAAAAATTAACACGTTTAAATATTATTTTATTCCAAATTAACAATACGTACGGATATGAAATAAATATAAAACTTTAATTCTTTTTTTACAATAATATATATCTATTTATAAATGGAATTGATTTATACTAAACTCTGTTTCTCTTTCTCATATCAGCAATGAAATATAATACAATAAATGTAATATAATGCGATAATCAATATCAAGCTTTAACAAAAATCGATCTTCTCGCGCGCAACCGCAATACGAGTTGCTATTTTTATTTGACAGAAGATCGAAAATAACCAATGTTAGTTTTGCTACCAGATATCGTATTTTAATAGCATTTGTTTAAATGTGTGTCGATATTGCGAGAGCTACAATGTTCTTTGCAACACATCGTACATAGCTTAAACCTTTATATCATCATATATCTATCTATCGTAATCGACTCGGACAATGTGAAAAATCACTAGGAAACGTGTAGATTCGACTTTTCCCCTGCTCTTTCCACTCGCCAGAGTCCCTTTCTCTTTTCTAACTCACCTTCTTTACCTGTTAATGGTCTCGATCACGAAAGCAGTTAAAAATCATTCCCCAGCACGAAACCACTTCGATTGCAAGGAAACATATAAAAAAAGAGGTTTTTCGAGATGGCAAAGCTATTACTTTTTGAAGAGTTTGTTTTAAAATTACTTCGAGGTATTTTTTCGAGAGAGGAAGCAAATCTCTAGGCTTAATAGAGTGATACCGGAAAATGTAATAAATAAAATTATACACTAGAATTATGCAATGAGGCATTATTATGCATGATGATAACGTGTCATGTCTGCCAGAACGTCAGATAGCGATACTAATTAATGACGCTTTCCACATAAATTTCCATCATGAGCTCGATCTCATTGGGCGCTCTTCCTCGGGCGTGAATCAAAGAAAAGCTGATTTGGAAGAATGCATCGGATTTGGAAAGGGAAAGGGTCGGAGCCCGTCCGTAACGATCCTTCCTTTCGCGGACGGTACTTAGAGACGCCGAGCCGCGTCGAAGACGATAGAGACGGCGCGGTGGGATATCTCTCCTCTCAAAGGCGTC